ATCCATCCATCCATCCATCCATCCATCCATCCATCCATCCATCCATCCATCCATCCATCCATCCATCCATCATCTATGTTTGATCCTCTTACTTACTCTTCTCTGAACTTTTTCCAAAGTCTCAGCATCTTTTTTGTAGTATGGTGGAATCATAAATATTGGCTGGGGTTGGGTGGGGGTCTTTCCAGTGCTGAGTGGTGGGGACGAAAGATTGGCTTTAAAGATGGTCTGACTGTCCCTTGATTTCAATGTCCCCCTTTTGTTTTCCGAGTACAGGACCTTCAAAGCGCCCGGGAAGAAGTAGAGAAAGCGTTTGCTTCGACGGAGCGTGAAAGAGTCCAGCGACTGGCTGTGGAACAACAGCTCTCCTTGATCATCACTGCGCAGGCCAAAGATAATGATGTCACGGCCTTGCTGGGAGAAAAAGACAGGTGGAATGTCTATCAACTTCTTTTAATGACCCCATAATCCCTTGAGGGGTGGAGTCTGGCCAACTGAATAGAGCTCAGTGTTTACTGGCCCGATGCCTTTCCTGTCACCAGGGCGGGAGTTTAGTTCAGCAGATATATTCTCATTGGGCCCAGAGAGAGAAATATCTGCCTCTACCTAGGATCGAACTCACAGCCTCCTGATTGTGAGGCGAGAGCTCCTCCTCTAGGCCACCACACCATTCACAGGTGGAATGTCTATGTCCCAAAAGCGCGTTTCCAAAAGTCAACTGGGCCTTCTTGGTTTTTTTTTTCACCCCCTGGAAAATGTTTCGCTTTTCATCCAAGAAGCTTCTTTGGTTCCTGGATGAAGGAACATCCTGGATGAACTCCTTGAAGTGAAAAAGCTCCTTGGTTGGGAAGCAAAACATTTTCAAGGAAAAAAAACGAGGAAATCTAGTTGGGACAAAAGTTAGCACCTTTGGGACAAAAGGACGGATTAGGCCACTGCTTGTAGCCCCAAAAGTTTGCTTTCTCTTAGCCGGGTGGGTTTACTGGTTGTGTTCTGAGCTAGGCTTCCCCAAAAAAGCACGAGGCAGGTTCCTGGTCCAGACAAAACCCCTTTTATTAAACAAATGTGAATTCCTCTCATTCCCATTCAGCCAAGGCCTGGCAAACAGTCTTTCAAAGGAGTATTTATGACCACAGACCTTATCTAGCTTGGAAAGCGGCCATGTCAGTATTTCCCAAATGAGATGCGCTGAAAGGAAAGGCTGGGCACAGAGTCTCTGAGATTCACGGACAGATCTTCACACTCCTGAAATGAACGAACAAATGAACGAACAAATG